CTTGCTCCTTTTCCAGATCCTGGTCTGTGAGATTGAGCGATTCAGTAGCGCCCGTGTGATGTAGCTATCGTTCATGGCAAATGACCATCACTAACCTTTTTTCCAGTCTCTGAATCGGTTAGGGTGAAAGACATCCCAGTGGAGAAGGAACTCACAAGCTCTTAGGCACCCTCTAAGCTTCATGTCCAATGGAATGACAAATGAATGTGTACTGCTGGTAACTATAGAGTTGCAATACACATATCTCCTGATATGTGTATTTTTTAAGACCTGTCCTTAGGATTGCTTGTGAGAATCTCAGCTTTTTAAAAAGTTTCTGTCCCTCATGTCTACTCAGGGAAGCTTGAAACTTGAACCCCGCTAGGCTTAACAGCTCTCAGAAAGCAGATAGCATATACATGTGAACACATTATTTTTATATAATCTCATTTTAAAGCTAATTTGAAAGAGAGGAATGACATGTAAAATATCAATTGTATTACTATTTTTTAAGTTTCGCGGTACTAAAACGTATCCCAAATAATCATAATGTTCTGGATGTGTATGCTTTATAACAGAATGTAATGCCTTTGTATATCACCCAGAAAACTTTACTTTTAATTATGGGTGTACATTCAGGCCTCAAGGTGGAAATAAATGAGATTTTGAAAGTGTAAAGTTATCTGCTAGCAGACTTGATAGTTTTGTCAGGTCTTGGTGAAGCTGTTGACACCAAGAGAGTTGTAAACTTTTTTCTCTTGATACATCAGATAAACTTTTAAAACACCTAAGGAAAAAAAGAACATTAATTTGTATGAATAATAGATATATGCCTTGGGAGCGATATCGAATATTCATGAATTGTGTTTATATTCAAGCAGCTCCACTAACTCTTTTAAAATTAAGGTGCTGTGAATATGGTTTGGCAATAAAAACTTTAATACTAAAACCATCTGAAAGCATAGAAAAAAAGTCTGTGACTTTGTTCCTTTGCTTTGTCAAATGCCTCAAAGTTTTTTCTTTAGTCATTTATATTTATTTAAATATTATTGTTTTGTGAATTTTCTTTTTATAAATGTTGCCATAACAGCTTGTTTTCTCTTCCTGTGCCTAACTATTGATGGAATAAAAGGATGTCTTTTCATAACCGTAACTTTTAAAGCGACCATGAACATCAGAGCTTCTCTTCTGAAGCTGTATAATTTTAGGCAGTACTGAAATGTCACTTTTAGAGTTAGATTCTGAATGTGACAAAGTGAAACCTTTAGCTGTTTTCTAAATTATTTTTTAAAAAAATGGCCTGACTGCTTCTTACAGAAGTGCAATATTCAAATGGCGTTGGTAATGCGGCTGCTAGGAACCAGAACAAAAATGGCTTTACCCTGAGTGAACTCAGCCTGGGCTAAATGAATTTCCCAAAGACTCACATTTGGAATTGTGGAGCTTGATATTAGCAAATTAAACCACAGAAGAGTTGCGAGTCCTTCGCAGCACTCATCAAGCAGCATTCAGTGACTCCACAAGTAAACAGTGAAAGCCTCTATAGCAACAGAGTGCATTTCCATTCTGCAGGAGGAAGTGTTCAAGTTCTACAGATTTGGGAAGCTGAGGCAGGATCGTGATCTATCTCTGTGGACATAAAGTACATGTAGCTGGAACTCCTCTTAAGGTAGCCATTTTGTAGCTTAGTCAAATAGCTTTTGATTCACAGATCCACATATATCATGTCCTGTACTCATAAAAGAGTTTCCAAATACTTTTAATAAATAAGTAACTACAGGGTATCCTTTCTGCAAAGTAAACTGGAGTGACTGAAGAGAAGTTTTAGTTTTAAACAAGTAACTGAATGACAGGATCAATTTCTAATCACAAATATTTAAATTTGCTGTCAAAATATTTTTCAATTAGCTGACAATAGCTTTAAAATAAATACTAATTTTACGTTGGCTATTTACTGTATATTACGTATATATGCAACTATTTAGGAGCTCAGGGAAAGTGACAGGCAGCAGTTAGCAGAGTAATACTCAGCGGTGTGAAAACTACCTTGGTTTTCTCTTTATTGACAAAATATTGATCCATAACACTATTAATGCTATGATTGTCAGTTCAATTTGGATAGATCACTTTGCCTCTCTTGTTCTCAAACGGCAAAGATATTACCCAAAAGGAGTGACCTGATTTCAGTTTAAGAAGGTTAAAGGTTAAAGGTGAGCTCAAAAGCATCATCTGCCTAGCTGCTTAACTTTAAACTGATCAATTTAATGAAAATCTGTTTTGCAGATGGTGTTTTAATGTCTTTGGCAGGATTTAGGCAGCTTTAACATTAGACGTATGCTAGTAAAAATTATTTCTTTATTTGACCAGAACAACACCTTTTCTTTTATGTTTTAAGGTAAAAGGCATGTGGGATATGGTATTTTGGCAAAGGACCCAGAAGCAGAAAGTGTTGATGATCTTTCCATATGGGCTCAAAAACAGAATACCTTTATGTCTATTGCTAACGATGACTGAAGAAACAAACAAAGCTGTATTCATTTTTTACTATAATGTTTTACTTTGAACCTATAAAAAAGAGTTTCAGTCAGAATTGTCCTTGAAAAAGGCTTGTCTTCTTTGCCTAGGGTGGAATGCAGCAGCATTAACATTTTTAACCTGGCAGAGCACGCTGATTGTCTCTTTTAGACTTTGTATTTGTAGATCAGCAGTATTCTTTTTCCTGCTCACAAACTGAGTAGTAATTGTGTGACTTTGCTGTAGATACCATAAATAATAAGGTGAATTAGTCAATCCAAACGGTAAATTTTATCCGATGGAGGTTATCTGAATAAACAAAGAATTAGATCCCCAGGAGTGTGGAGCCGAGCTTCGTGGTTATGTCTTCTGAGAATCTGGCCCGCACAGTTTTTGCCAAGATAATAAAGTTTCAGCACAAGCACGTCTTTCTGTTTTCAGATGTATGCAATTCAGTAGGAATTTCTTGGGCTGCTAATGCAATACTATTATATGTTAGCTTTGTAATTAGTTAGGACTCTATCCCTTTGCTGAAATGCATTGTAATATTACGCACACAAGCATAGCTTGCATGTAGCAGTCATGAAAGTGGTGC